GGGGGGGGGGGGGCATGCACGCATGAGCGTACAAGGTGGAAGGGCGGGTCATCTTCGGGGCTGGGGGTCTGTCTACTCCGAGATTTACTACAATACACACCTACCATTTCGGTAGCGACCGGGATTCTCCTTGGCTGAAACTTATCCGCGAACAACAATTCCGCAACTATGTTCGTCGATTCATACAGAAACATGTCCCAGTGTTTGCTCTATCCGCTGTACTCGCTGAACACTTTTAAGCATGCATGCCGGTTGAGTTCGAGGCCAGTAACGGGAGACAACGACCAACAGTGACAGCAAACCATTCGGGGGGGGGGAGTAAACGCTCGGAATAGCATGTGCGGCGAGATGAGCAAGACAGGCCTACCGCAGGCACGACGACGAAAGGGTCTCTGGATGAAGTGGGTCGGTTGAGCGAAGACACCTGGGAGAAAGGGGGGATGACTATGTCGACGGAGATGACGCCATGACCGACCGCCGGTGGCTTCCAAGAATGTCGACAAACACCACCATAACTATTAGAAGCAAAGAATATGTTGCACTTTCGATTGTTCTTCGGACTCATCAAAGGTTGTATGTATGCTACAGTAACTCACTGGTGATGTCGTAGACCTTGTCCTTGATGATGATCCACGCGCTTTCCCTCGAGTTGTGCTTGGCCACTTCCTGAGAAAAAGAAAAGCCGAGCAAGCACCAGCGAACACCTTACCAACTGAAGTACAGCGGTAGTGGATCCAGTGGCTCCTACATGAGGCTACTGCATAAACAGAGCCGATCGAAGGCCGGTAAAATTGCGGAACACACAGTACGAATATTCAAACATGTGTTGTTGAACAGCAAAAAAAAAAAAAAGGGCGACCGGCCGATGGGTGGGACGTATGCGTACGTACCTGCCAGGTGAACTTGTTGTTGGCAACCGCGGTCTCCTCCGCCGAGGTAATTTCCGCCGGAGTCGCGACCGATACCCGGTGCCGGAGGCCATCATCTGAGGAGCACAACCGTTGTTGTTGTTGTTGTTGTTGTTGTTGTTGTTGTGCAATAGTGTTGCTGCTGTAGATGCTGCCGTAGTTGCTGCAGCAGCGGTGAGGAGCTACACTGCTGTCAATTGTGTTGTTGACTGCCTCTGCTATAGTTGCAGCTGTGACTGCCGCAGTAGCACGAACGATTGTGTTGTTTGGTGTTAGTTCTGCAGCTGTTGCCGTACTTTCTGCAGTTTAGCATTAGTGGTGCATTGCTCGTTGCTAGTACTGCTGCTGCTGTAGTTGCAGCTGTATTGGCTGCAGCAAATACGTTATTGTCGCTCTTGCTGTTGTTCTCGTTACCGCCTTCTTTCACTCAAGGGTAAAGGATATGTGTCTCGTACTCCGTATCTACAGCAGTATCCCGATCGTGACCACTGTGCAACATGCTCCCCCAAGAGGGAACCGTACACACCCTCTCATTCTCTCACTACATGTGAGACACGTGAAGAGGAATAAATACACAAGGCGTCTGATTGGACGATTATTGCAGCGCAAATTGTTGTGCACTCCGACATCTTTGGGCAGCAGTACTGCTGCTGCTGGAGACACCACCAGGAAAATCACATGGAGGCAACACTGCTGTCTCGCATCGCACAGGGGCTGGTGTGCGCCGCTGAATAGCATGCGTGCAATAGGAGTGCGTGCAGCAGCTGTCATGGAATGAACCAGCAGCAGCCTCGCTTACGACTATTGTGGTACGGCTAAACCTCGATTTTTTCGATTCTCCGATCACCAGCCAATCACATCGTGAACACAGGCGTATGTTTGCATGTTCAAACATGCTAGGCTGTGTTACGGGAAGCTTTGGTTCACGACGGTTGCACCTAGGGAGAAGGTGGAACTTGCACAAGATCCCTCCGATTTCGACATATCAACACGCCAGACGGGGGGGGGTCGCACCTGGTTTGGGGACACCAAATGTACCAAAATGCAATGCGCCGTTGTAAGTCTATGATCACGGGGCACGTACACGTACGACATGCAGCCTTTCAATTCATTCCAATAGACCCATACAAATGCACCTCATTTCGTTGTGTTTGTCCGCCGACTACGGAAATTTGGACGGAAGGGGGCGTCACCCACGAATGAACATGGATGCCCTCGTCCATGACAATGCCTACACTTGGCGGTCAACTCTGTGCATCCCTTCCTGCTGCTAGGAGGGGGCTGCATCACACCGAGCGGGGGGGCGCAGGGACAAAAACAGCTGTAAAAAAAAGCTCGTCTTGCAGCGAGAGATTTGGTATCGGTTATGCAAGCTGCTGATTGTCTGCTGACGTGCACAATTCGGTCACACAAAGCACCGCCATGCTGCGCACTCACCGGCAGATCGGTAATCAGACTCCGGAGGCATTGTAATCGTCCCTTCCTCTCTTTGCGAGCGTCCTTGGCAAGGGTAGCACGGCTCGGCTGGGGCGGTACTGCCAGGTACAGGAGACCGCCTGCTGCTGGCTTGGTGTGACGCACAGCGGACATGCGGCGGAATCAGCGAACACGACGTCTGACTAGACCGGAATGCACTGCCTATCACTACAAAAACCAACATACCTCAGAGATGGTCTGCACGCTTTCAATCAAATCTGTGCGCAGCAGTAGTTACAGGCACCGCCTTGATGGCGCGCTAGTGGGTGCGGGGGTGCAGCAGACCTTGGTTGCAAAAATCAGCAGCGAATAATTGTGGCAAGGTGTGGGGAGCTTTGTGAACATGGGAAATGTGCTAGACTGCTCGACGGTGAGTGAGATGCTCGTTGTGTTCTTCAAAACGGATATGTTCTCGCGTATTGCGCGTTGACAAGGACCTGCAGGGTTGCCAAAGAAACCCATCAAGCTATCAGACCCATGCCGTCTCTCTCTCTCCCTCTCTCTGCACGGTGGGTTGGCCAAGTTATGCGCCAGGTGTGTTCGGCATCGCCGCGTGGGCCCTGGTCCTATCCCTTGAACACAGCACGCAATGCACCGCATGACGTTAGATACCACATCCCCTCCGCGCGAAGCTTGTTCACAACCTCTTGGGAACAGCGGCGTTGCCGATTCATCTTGTAATATGGCGCTGAGCGCGATTCCGAAGTACAAACATCTCTGAGACCTACCATGCTCCCTCTGGGTGGCAATCAAGAGCGGAGGAAGGTCGCCCGGGGGTGCTCGGGGATGGGTAATATTTGAATATTTTGTCCTGACTGTTGCCGTTTTCTTGCTTGCACCTGCTGCCCTCTGCGATGCTGCTGTCATCTAGTACCTACTGAAATCCCTGTGTGCATGTCGGACGAATGCCACCAGTTTGTTAATATAAAAATCTCCAGCGATTCTACTGTTTGACTCTATTTTTGTCCGGTGGCTAGCGAACGATTTGGAAAACAGAAGCGAAAAACACGCGGCACGACGGGGTGGTTTTGTGACATTTCTTTGCCTCTCACCACTATAATAGGTTTACCGTCTGTTCGTGACTCTTCCTATCTACTTCCAGCTCTTACGCCCTCTGATTTCTCAAGCGTTGATCTACGGGCTTTTACGCCCTCTGATTGGTCGAGCGTTGGTTCGATCGATTCCTTTCCGCGCCCTCACGGTTGAACATCCGGCCAGACCTAACGAGGCACTATAAATCAGACCAGGTAGACCTCCCTCCCGCCTACCCTGCCCCCCCCCCCCCCCCCCCTTCGAAAAAATAAGGACCCATTAGATCAAATCCACGAGCCGGACGGCAACCTGCCCACTGAGATCGGCCCCACCGGAAGCGATGACGCGAGGTCGCAAGGCTCGTCCCACTTCCAAGGGTCTCACGCTGGCGGGGAGAGGGGGAGTCCCGCACCGCCGCCCAGGCCTGAGGTTCTCTTCCTTGAGGAGGCCGTTCCTCTGAGGGACAGCATCATGTGGAAGTTGCAAAGGTGCGATCTTGTAATTGTTTTGCGTCGCGGCTCCCTTCGAGGGCAACATCATCCTGTAAGCCTTCTTTAGTCTTGGGCCCCGAGGTGAGGTGGTAGCTGGAAACAGCTGTGAGTGTTTGAGCGCTTGCACTTTGCACATGGTGGTCCTTACCACAATGTGACGGTCGTTTTTCCTAGCCCTAACCCTCAGCGGCGGCAGCTTGCTAACACGCTGCCAAGGCGAGAAACACGAAGATGCCAAATGATGTGTCCCAACACGGTACGTATTGACGTCACCGAAACATGTGCCGTCGTTGTGAATCCGCCTGTTGGAAGGGAGTACTACACGGCGCACCACGTGCAGTGCTGGGAGAAGATGGTGGTGCCGTGCTTCGTCACCTCCAACTCTTTCATCGCCAACGCCTACGCGAGGTGAGCCGCCCCCGTCCAGCCGCTACCGCTCCTGCTGCTGTGTGTACGTGTGTACGGTAGCCGTGCATGCGGTCGTCGAGGCTTGGCAATAATGACGAAGCCGGCGGGGCTGACTGACTGGCTCAAGTGTTCCCACTTCCGTTATTTCTACAAGTATCATACAATGGAGAACACATTCTTTGTCGCTACTTGTACAAGAAATGCGTGCTTGGTTGTACCTGATGGCGCCACCACCATTTCTTCGGGCGACGGCGAGCGTAAGGAAGCTTTCCCGGTCAATGTAGCAGTCCGGCTCTTGCATGCCTTCGTTACCGCCATTCCCACATGTTTTGTTCCCGAATGTTGTCGTCGCCTTCGTGGATGACCCTGCTAAGACAAAGCCCGCGAGATGGGAGCGTGACAAAATGGAGGTATGAAGTTCGTGCTGTCCGGGCAAAGGTGCATGTCATGTCACACCGATTGCTGTCCCGTAGCATGCCCACCCTTAACGTCGTTTCTTTGTCATCTCCACCCGCTGACGAGGTCGAATTGTTTTGAGTCGCACCGCAAGCACTCTTGTTTCGTTTCCTCTTGGAAAATAAAATCCAAGAATTGTCGTGTCCGCCCGTTCGGCAGAATCCTGGTCGGTTTCATGCGGGACTGGTTCCTCTTCAGTGGGCGCGCCGACCAATCAGAGCCGCTGCTGATCTTAGAGGTGAGGGCAGCGTCGTGAGTAGGGACGTTGAAGGGTAGTCAAACCCGATGCAAGGCCTGTGGAAATTGTTTTCATGTTCCAGCGTGCAGCTTGCGCTGAGAAGGTGGGCTGGGTTTTGGCTAGCTAGTCCACAGCCAACACGGACGTTGGTCCTGTAGAATAGACACGATTATTCACCGCGCGAATAATATACATATCTATTCCGCATGGTAGCAGTCATTTGCAAGCTGTAGTTGCGATCGCGTGTCAGCATGTTGAGGCACGCTCGACGAAAAAATCATCCGAACAGCTCTAGAAGCAGGTAGAAGCAAGCGGAGTGAGTTGGGCGGACTACCACACGTAGAGGGTCCTTCCGTGTACCTGGATGCCGAACCGAGGCCGAGATTGGGTAGCAGCCGTTGTAGGCACTGGAGAAGATCCATGTACCGACGGTTGGTGATACCGTAAGGATGCGGGTCTCCGCACAGGGGTGTTAGCTTTTTTCAAAGCTTCACCACTCGACAACTAGGAAGGCAACACTGTTGAAAAAGCGGTTTTGGAATCATCTCATCGAGTTCTTTCCTTAGACGTGTTGTGTTGCCTTCGCACCCTCCTCGTTGCGGAGTAAGAAAGCTTTGAATAACGCTAACACCCCTGTGCGGAGACCTGCATCCTTACGGTATATTGGGATCCGACAAGACCGGCTCCTTACTCTCGTCTCGCTCGTGGCAGATCGGGGCGGGTCACGGCAAGTTCAGCTGCCTGGTGCTGCAGCATCTCCTGGAGATGCGAGAGTTCCTCCCGACTCTCGCGCCAAAAGGCGGCGGAACTCGGATAGAAGGCCAAGGGGGCGAAGTGAACGCACCGGGGCACAGCGAAACCAGCGGCGGAAGCGGCGGAACTGTGGGTGAAACTGCCGACCAAGATTCGCGAACAGCAACCACCGACGGCGCTACCGCAGTGCCCGACGAGGGAGAAAGGCGGCCAGAGGGTGCTAAAAGAAAAGGGTCGGCCGCCAGTCGACAAGAAAGTGAAACCGTCGGCGACAGAAGTGCCGGTTCGTCGAAGGCGGAGGATAAGGGTGCGCAGGCGTGGAAAGGGAGCGAGGCCGCGGACGGACTCCCTTTCCGATATGTCGTCACCGACGTGGCCCAGGTGCGGCGTGAAAAGTGGGCTTCCCACGCCATCCTTGTACCTTGGATATCGTTAGAGGGAAACGCTAGGGCTTGCGAAGGCCCGGGGTGCTGTCGCAAGATCCCCTGTTCTTGTAGTCCAACACCTAGTCCCCAATAATGACGCTGGTGTTTTTCGGGTCCTAACCCTTCGTTCAAGGCCGGCCTGGGGCCGGAAGACTTTTTTCCGGATGGAGAGTATTTCATGGCGAAACGATCACCCAGTAGACAGACCTGCGTTTGAGATTTTAGATGCAATGAGGGACATTAGTGCGGTGTTGAGAAAACATTCCAGTACAGGTTTTTGTTTTTGTACTGCTGCTACTACCCTTGCCAAACGAATTTGGCTGCATCGAAACCCCGCGCTTGTTGCGGATCGAACTATAGAGAGATCATGAGTGCTGTGTGTCAGCACGAAATGTACTTGTACGAAGTTCACAGTGTTAGGTTTAACCATGGTGCTGCGGCGGTTACATCGCGTGGACGTTGTTTTTTCGTGCGTCCCTTTCAAACGAACGGATGCTGCCTGCCTGACTCTTCCTTTTATGTACGAAAGGCGCTCTGTCGCTCGCGTTGTTTACTCCTGGAGTGCGCGCGGGACAGTGTACCGTCACCAGGATGACCGAGCTTCGTTGCTCATTGGGCCTTATGCTTCTCTCCAAGAATGTCTATCTCACAGGTTGATTGGGCCAGGCATGGTGTTTGCTTTTCCCCGCCACACGGGATTTTTTCCGCCGTTTCCTGCTTGCCTTTCACCTGCTGACGTTGCCGCCGGTAACCGCCGTGACTGGCACGGCCGTGCTGGCGCCACGAATGCTCCTCCGCTGCTCTGCTCGTGCCGAGAAGGGTACTCTGGACTACGTCCGACGTCACCCCTCGATGCAGGGTTTCTTGAAGAAGGGCGTGTTGGAGGTGAGCCCTTGCTTTGGAGTGCTGGCGATGCAACTACATCGCCGTGGTTTTTTCTGCGATGATTCTTTGAATCACGCACGTGCACGCGATACGGTGCCTCTGCTACGGCTGTGACGGCTGCCGCTGTCGGCGGTTATAATGTTTGACCTGTGGGGGTCCTCGCGTAGGTCGGGCAACGGCGTGCCGCTGCTGTGGTTTACTCCCGAGACAGACCTATTTTTTCAAGTCCACGGCAATTTTTAGTCGTACTGATACGAAGTATCGATAGTTCCTGACACCATCTCTCTCGCACATGAGCACACGCTCCGTTGCCGCCGCAGGCTCATCGTAACGGTATGTCCTGTTTCGGTTTCCTCCGTTTTGGCTTTTGGGTTTGTCGGAGCGCTCACACCGCCGGTGAAGAAATTGAGCGTCCTTTCTTTTCGTTTTTTCGTTTTTTTACCTTAAAGTTTTGTACAATGGACCGTTTGTGTCGGTGGCGTGGACGGGCACCTTCACAGATCCACTCCGGTTAGGCCGCTGCTGCTGCAAGCGGTCCTTGATTTTGTCGTGGTGCCTTGTGACAGGTGGCGCTTCTGGACGCGGAAGACCCAAGCCCCCCGAGCACGTTGCTGCTGCAGGTATGTCGGATACCGGTCTGACGGGCCCCTCATTTCGGAGAATAGACACCTCGGTCTTGACCCGTGCACTCGCTTCATGTGTGTGTACGCGGATTCCGATTTTCGTCTGTCGGGAGAGCACGACAAAACTCATTTTCGATAGTGCTTGGTGCTGTTTACACGCTGTTTGCGCTATCGTGGGGCATGCCGCTACATGTACGGGGATATTCGGTGCTGTGCAATGAGATTGGCATGTGTTGTGCAGTTTGGAAGGCCCACGATGATAGATCCACTTGCTATTCTCTTGCTCGACAGCAGTGCTGTGCTTTGCTGTTTAGGTAGGACTGCGCAGATGATTGGTGGAATCCACATCCCTCCGTTGGGGGTGCTGATGCCCTATCCCCTGCTTTGTGCTTCAATCGGGAATTCCTTCTCTTGCGTTTGCCTGCGGTTCTTAAAACGAATTACCGCTGATGCCATAACGGCTTGGTCTCAAGGACGAACACCAAGATTCTTGTGGAGGTAGAGGATCAGAACGGTTCGCATGCAGAGAGAAAATAAGACGTATTGCCGGGAGGGTCAAACAACGTCCGGAACCGTTTGGTGGGGCCGGTTTTTAACGTCGCACTTCTGTCGTTGATTGCTTTGCGGTCGTCGGATGAGTAACGGGTTCCGTGCGTGATTGTCGGTGGATGTCGTGCAGGCAATGCGATACTTGTGGAAGATCTTCTTGGTATTGTAGGCAGATGCCATTTCAACAAGTTACGATGAGATCTCACCATACAGCATGCATCCTGTGGACTTTTTTTTTTTTCACATTCACTCTTGTTGCCCTGATACTCAGCCTTTAGCTGTGGCTCTTTTACGGGTGACATCTGTCTAATATCTTTTGGTCGGTCGTATAGCATCATCCGATATTTGTGTTCGCTATCTCGACCGGAGTTCCAACGGACGGGCGAGGCTTCCTTGAACAGGGCTAGCCTATCTCTGCCGCTGTTGCCCCCTGTCGTACTTGGAACGTGGCAAACCTTGGCCTACGCAGGTGTCGGGGCAGGTTGTGGACCTCAAGTCTGCGAAGAATCCGGTGGCGACGGTGTGCAACTACGTGTTCGACTCTCTCCTGCAGGACGCCTTCCGGTTGAAGGGGAAGACCTTGTATGAGAACAGGTGAAACCCCGCGCTACATTCTGGAGGTAGATATCTACCGCCACCCTAGGGTACGCCTACTGCTGTACAGCAGTGCTGTTCTGATAGCACATGCTCGTGCTGGTCGACCTGTTTGGAGTACGCGATCGAGTGTCTCTGATCGGTAGTGACTCCGGGGGTGATCGGAGGTTTACACGAGGTTGGTTGGTGCGTTCGCATCTCCTTGAGAGTCAAACGCTTCCCAAAGTGGAGGTAGCTTTTTCGCTGCGAGACGATGTGTACAGTAGCTCGTGTTTAATGCACTCTTCGTTGCTGTCTGGCGCACCGGTGTCTTGTCTGGTAGACAGCGACCGTCACCCAAACAGGTTGACGGAAGATGCGGCCTCTCTAACTACACGGACTGTTGTTTGGTCGTTGGCCCTAGAACCTAGATGAACCAAATTACTGTAATTTGCTTAGCCCGCGAAAACCCGTTGTGCGCCTGGTCGTCTTGTTGTCTTCCCGTTGATGACATCGACCTCTCGTGCACCATTCGACCATTTCCGGGCGCGGGGGCTGCCTCTTACGGAATGCCGTGCATCGCCCCACAGGGTGACCATCACCGCGACAAAGCCCCTGCCGGAGAATTTGGCCGAGGTTGGTGTTTTTTTTATGTGCCCCGATGCACCTTGCTCAGCTACACTTCCCCGTTCTCATATTTTCATACTTTATTAGGTAGAGAGGTAGTATTTCAATATTTTTGATTTTTTCATTACCTAGTCAGGACTTGGGGAACCCCAGGGACCCGAAATTTGTTCAGAACTTCTCGGCAAGCGTTCCTGCGCCGACTCAGGGTCGGATCCGCGGGTGCAACAATTCGCTCCTTTGCAGCCGAACCAAATGAAGCAGGTACCTAAGGTGCCTTTTGACACCAGTTGAAGAATTTGTACCTTTTCGCTTGTGCTCCGGCGCCTGTTTTTCTTTACTGATCATTTAACTGTTGCTGCCTGCAGGTGTAATGTTGTGGTTGATAAGCGGGGGGTGCGTACAGTAACAACGCCAGTAGCCCGTCCAGCGAACCGCTCAATTTTTTCTCACCAATCCGTCGACGTCCGTCTTCAGTCCACCAGTTTGTTGTCGTTGTCGTTGTCGTTGTCGTTGTCGTTGCCGTTGCTGTTGTAGTCCTTCGGGTCAATGTTGCATTTGGTGATGTTTTAGCCGCTGCCCTTCTTTCATGCGGACGTGTGGTGTGCTGTACTGCATGCGTCCTTTGCCCAAATTCGTGCTGACGTTGATCGTTTTTTGAACCCGCAACCTCTGTCGGTCGTTTGTTCAGCTATCGCTCACGGCACTTCAAGGGCTGGGGTTGCAATGGGAACACCGGCGGCATGCGTTGACAGCCGAGAGGGCTAGAGCATACTACGCAGGGGTAGCGACCGGTGAGGCTCCCCACCTCTCCCCGGTTGGTGCCCAAAAGACGCATGTCCTGGCGTGATCGTCGTGGCCTCAATTTGAAGCACCAACTCACGGAGATATTTTTGCGCCCTGGACAGCTCAAGAATTTGCTGAAAACAGCTCAATAATATTCCCTTTGGTATCGCGACTAGGTTTGACTTCTTGAGGCATTCTGACGAAAACACACGTGTTGGAGTTCTTGAGTGGCCATACTGTTGGGATTTGGCATGATGGAGCGCTTCTGCTGTTCCCCGGCTATCGGAGCTTGTTCTTGCAGAAGAGGGGACGACACTTCCCCGTGCCCATTAGGGCCGTCGTTGGGCAACAGAACGGGGAGGACCCTCCAAAATCCGCGTGCCCCCCACAGTCCCGGGTGCCTCGTCCTTCGAGAATGTGGTCGACGGCCGTCAAGCGGGCGGAAGGAAGGCCAGGAAACTCTTAAAACGCCTGTCCGCTCACCCGCACCTCCCCTTACACCTGGTCGCCCACAGCCGCAGATATCACCCCCCTCCCCTTCCTCTCTCTCGAAACGCCCTGACTAACTCTATGTCAATGCTTGGGGCTGGGGTTTGTGGTTCCCTGTCGATTGCGGCACGCGTTCGTTCCGTGGACGGGCTTTCCGGCAACGGCGCCAGGTACGGGACTAGCCCGGGACACTCAGGCGACCACCTTGAAGGGGGAGGCCGTACAGGGAGGGGACGGAGGGGACGCCGGAACCGCGTCTCCGAGACGCCAGGCTTCACGGGAAGGTGGGTCCTGCTCCCGAGGATTGAGGCGGTGTTCGCAGAACTGCGGCGGAATATGAGCGGCAGAACTTAGGCTAAGGAGCCAATGGTCTGGTTCCAAGGGTCTTTATCATCTAGATATTTGAGCGGCAACACCCGCGAAGGATGTTGTCGAAGGCTTCGCGTCATGTACCTTTTCTCCGAGGATTTCGGGTTGTCGGTATTGCTTCCAACAAGTATTGCAAAACATAAGTAGTCAGACATATGAACCTATTCCGGCCTGAGCTCTTCCTGAGTACCACAAGCTTTGCTGAACCACCTTGCGAACGACCAACACCTCAACGTGTCACATGGTCGATATGTAAAGATGTACAGCGTTCACGTGCAGCTGCGTATTTGTGGGCAAGGGTTCCACTATTTATTTTGCTTGTCAAGCCCCGTGCGCTCATGCTCTCGAAGACCACCGGTGTTTTCGTGTTGTTATTGTTTTCGTGTTGTTATTGACCTTATAAGGAAAGACGAAACGGGGTGCTCAACGCCTGTACATCGTGCTGCCACATACGTCACTTGAAATCCCATCGTTTCCTGTCGTTGTTCTTGCGAAGACGAAGATGTACCTACAGACGGCGGAGTTCAAGGAGGTCAAGGCGGTGTGGAAAACGCGGGTGATGACGGTCAAGAAAAGGGCGAGGACGAAGCCGGCAGAACATCGAACAGCGCACCAGACAGCGGCGCAACAGAAAGCGGCTCAACAGAAAGCGGCGCGACAAAAAGCGGCGCAAAAGGTGACACTGCCGGGACGACGTCCGTGCTCGAAGGACAGGATGATGCTGGTGCTGGTAACAGTACCGGTGCAGTGGTCGAAGAGAACTTGCCATCAGCGAGGAGCCCGGATTCTGATTTCGACGATCTGCTCGCTTCGTACGTGGACGGAGCGGAGGAGGGGGACAGCGGAGTCTTCGGCAAGACGGGGGGCTCCCTGCTCATGCCACTCGGGGCCTTGCGGCTATTGAGGTGGGTTTTGTGAACAACGGGAGAGGAAAGAGAGGCACAAGCAGAAAAGTGCGGCGACCCTTAGTTGTATATATGTATCCAACAGGTCCATAACCACTCGCCTTTTCTGAAGTACCAGGCCCAGGATTAGAGGGCAGGCGTCCTTCCTTTGACTACTAGAATCATGTCTTGAGTCTTACTGAAGGACGGCCCTGTGTTCGCTTGGTTCGGCAGGCATCTGTCGTCGCTGTCCGGCGGGCGAGGCTTGGTGCTTGTCGGGGACAAAGGCTACATGAAGGACGAAGAAATGGCTGGGGACAGGGACCCCCACATCGCTTACCACGGCTCGCTCTCGTGCATGGTGAGCCCCGGAATCGGTTACGGCTTTTCATCATCACTGGAGCTTCTGGCTTTCTGGCACACCTGGACCACCAGGCTTGTCTATTGTGTGTCTTGGCAATGCTGCGCGGACGCTTGTCGAGCCATGGGAAACCGCGTTGGCTATGAGGGACGCTCCCTGTGGCTAGTTCTTGCCCCGAGATGCCGAACCCTTTTTCGCTACGCCCCAAGCCCCGACCGGGCGATCTCGTCGCTATCATGCCGTCGGCCAGCGATGTGATATTCGCTACCCGCCCCACGCCTTGGGCCGGGCGCTGTTTTCCGCGACAGGTGAACCTGGATGCGCTCGCGCGGTACACGCACCAGAGGGGGGGCTGGTCGCTCTCGTCCCCGTACATGGAAGGCTTCAAGTGCCAGGCGTTGGCGTTCGGCATGGAGGAGGAAGCTCTGCAAGAGACTCGATTCGCCTTCGAGGGCTCCATGCAGGTATTAGAGTCATATCAATGTATGGGAGAGTCAGCCCTCTGCCACCCTGTGGCTTGCTTCGGGGAGGGGGGGGAGGCGTGCTCAGCCTCCAGCGCAATGGTCGATCTGTGAGGCTGTTTGCTTCATGTCTTTTGGGAAAAACGTGCGCCAATCGCCTGTTGCACGGAGAGTTTGTCTGAAACCACTCGATATCGTGTTTGACGTTCCTACCGCCTTCACTCCGTAAACCCTCTCACTACTCCCACGCTCTTCCCACCCCGTGTGACGAGAGTCTTCTCTGAAGGACCAGCAGCAAGGGTCGCAAAATGTGTTGCCGACGAACAAATCCACAACTTTCGACCGCTGGCCCCTGCTGGATTACACCAAAGGGGATGTCATCCCCATTTCTCTCAATCGTTGCCTTTGTATAGTCTTGGTAGTTGCTATTTACTTCCACACACTTTATTTTGGCTGTAGGAACTACCAAGATCCTGCAGCTATTGCGAAGAAACCAATGACGTACGGCTCTCGCGAAGACTCCCTCGGCCTCAGGCTGACCGTGGGGGACACTGCCGTAGATTCAGTTGGTTTGCGGTCACGAAGAATCCCTCATTTCCCGCGGCCCTGTGCGCCATGTTTCCCGCAGCAAATGCGTCGGAGTTTTGCTTTGTCCATCGTTCCGCTGGTATGTAGCTTGCGTGCAAACTGCAACAATCGGGCCTCCTACTAGACGTCTATTCGGAATGTTGACCCCTTTTAAACAACCCGTACGAGCATGTAGCACTGCAAGCTCAGCGAAAGCAGCATGAACACCAACATCGTCGTCGTTGTCATGATGATCGTCAACAATAATCGCGGCTGCGTTTGTGTCAGGCTTTCGGGCCAGAGTCGTTCAGCATGCTCCAGAGAGCGGTGAAGGACGAGGTCTCCCAACCCAGCCTGGGCCTAGTGGTGCAGCTTCTCCGTCTGTCTAGACTGGACCCGGACGTGTTCATGAAGTTTCGAACATCGGTTGTCGATCAGGTACAAGCTTGCCGACTGTTTCCTCTCTCCTAGAGGTGATCTTGTTCGGTCGATTTGTTCGGTAGCTGTAAGGGCCCCCCAGCGTCTCATGTATGAAAAATATATTCTCATCTCCAAGATTTATGGAACTTATACGAAGAGAATATTGTAGCCTTCATGCAAAGGTTGTAGAACATCTATGGATGAAAACAAGCTCATGTCGAAGACTGCGGGATTTCCACCAATGGAAACGGTCTCAATTCAAATGTTTCCGAACATCTACAGTTCAACATATTCAGCCAAGCAAAGTTCCAAACCCCCTTGTGATTTTTTCCATTCGTACGAATAGATGTTCCAAGGCCTTTGAAATGAGATTTTTTTCCTTCGCAGATAGTCCGCAAGCTTTGAGACGAGGTTGTATTCAGAAGTGGTGATTCCGCAACGCTTGGGCAAGTTTTTTTCATTCGATCTGCCAACGCCGTTGAATTTCGACAACATTATTTTGTAGTTATTCCGCAAGCTTCGAGGCGAAGTTTGTTTCATTCGTAGACATACGTGTGGTGAGTTTTGTTCATTCGTAGATGTGCCAAGACGGTTGAATATTGATCGTTTTCATTCGTATATGTTCCGCAACCTTTGCGGCGAGGTTATTTTCATTCGCAGGTGTTCCATCGCTTTTGAATTTCGACAAATTGCACTCCCAAGATATTTCGCAATGTTTTGATACAAGGTTACTTCATTCGTAGCCAGTCTGCAATATTTGAGGTGCGTGTTGTTTCATTTGTAGATGTACCAAGGCCTTTGAATTTTGATCATTTGTATTCATAGATAGTCCCCAAGCTTTGAGACAAGGTTACTATCAATCGTAGATGTTCCGCAGTACTTGAGATGATTTTTGGTTTTCATTCGTAGATGTGCGAAGGCCTTTGAATTTTGGTCATTTCATTCGTAGATGGTATTCCGCAAGCTTCGAGGCGAGTGTCTTTTCATTCATAGATGTCCCGACCTTGGATTTGAGACTATTCATTCCAAGATATTCGCCGACGTTTCGCACGAGGTTACTTCATTCATCGATGTTCTGTTCTGCAACATTTGAGGTGCGTTTTTTTTTTCATTCATATATGTGCCAAGACCTTTGAATGCTGATACTGTTCATTCGTAAATATTCCGCAAGCCTTAGGCGAGGTTATTTTTATTCGTCAATGTTCCCACCTTTGGATTTGAGACTGTGTTCATTCCAAGATATTCGTCGATGTTTCGTACGAGGGTACTTCATTCGTAGATGTTCCGCAATACTTGAGGTGCGTTTTTTTGTCATTCATAGATGTGCCAAGGCGTCGGAATGCTGATTCTTTTCATTCGTAAACATTCCGCAAGCCTTGAGGCGAGTTTAATTTCATTCGTAGATGTTCCCACTTTGATTTGAGACTATTTTCTTTCGAAGACATTCCGCAATGTTTGAGACGAGGTTACTTCAGTCGTAGATTTCCCGAACCTTGAGAGTGAGGGCTCGGTCGACGTCGGTCCTAGCGCTTGTTGGCCGATCGTGCCCAGCCTGGCCACGTGTGGGAACGATGAAAAGGTGGATCTTACACCTGCCGTCCGATCCACATATGTCTTGTGTTGGGCGCGGATATGGCTACTGCTGCTGCTGCTGCCGCTTCCGCGTGCTACTCACGTGTTGAATTTGGCTGGGTTTCTAGTGCGTTGCCAAGCATCTTCGACGTTGTTGATTGGCGTACTTTCCCCCCTCAAGAAAAATGAAGGGGATCGACAGATCGCACACGATTCGAGCTGGGGTACGCCGTGGATGATGGAAAGTCACAACACCAATCTCGCTTCGCCGTCCCTCTCCGTACATCGTTAGGAACTGAATCGTTAGTGCAAAGTTGGACGTCTCGTTGGTGCTGAGGCACGAGGGCGTCAGCCAGGTTGGATCCCCCTTTGATTTCTCTCACAGCAGTATTTTCTCTGACTTTGGGTCTGCGTGCTCGAATTTCGCAGGTCTCGAGCCAGGAGCTTTCGCCTTCGGTCTGGGAAGACCTCAAGAAGGACACAACGGCCATTGCCCAACACTGCTACCCCTTGCAGCAGGTGAATACATCTCTTTCGTCGTGGGAGTCGCTTGAGAGACAGAGAGAGAGAGAGAGAGAGAGAGAGAGAGAGGGAGGGAGAGGGAGATCATCGTCTTGAAAACAGGGGCTGCCTCACTGAAACTGAGCCTTGTCACTTGTACGTGCTCCTCTGCGGCTTGAGAAGGCACTCTTGTGTGAATCATTTCCTTTTGCTCTCCAGGACGATCATCGAGATGTTCGCTGCATGAAGCAAAGCTTCCGCGCCTACCTATATATGACCGAAGAATACATTGCCTGACGTACAGAAAAAAAAGGCCGTTTGTTACAGGTCGTTTTTGGTTTTTTGTCAGTCAATAAAGTGTTATTTCTGATTTCGGGCGAAACACCGTTTCTTACAGAATCAGAAATTACATATTTCCGGCAAGAAAAGAACATTTCACGTTTCCAAGCGGTCATATGTTCGGAAATTATGATAATTTTGTATCAGATGGCGCGTTTGTTTGTTGTTTTGGGAAATGCACACCACACGGACAAAGCCATCGATTGCGCAGCAAGTACATACATACGTAGGATCTCCCCAGCACCTTCACCGCGCAACAAACTGTTCGTAGCGAGCTCACCAAGGGCTCCGAGCAACCCTTGGAGCACAGTGCTGCCATCCCAGCCATTGATAGGTGGTTGCCGCGAGGCCAGGTGCGCTCAAAAGCAGAATGTTGGCCAGCTGACTCACGCCGCTTGTTGTTCAAACCCACAATAATTCGCAGCATCATCCCGACACACACACACACACACATCGGTGAACAATAGTATTCATTTTCTCACTCTCTAGATCACCCTTCCTGTAGAAACTTGCGAGGATGTGACCTTCATCAACTGCTCTCTGTCGGAGGGGCTGTGCCATTGCTATTGGCCCGGTCAGTCGAGAGGGATGGCTCAAAAGCCACCGCGCGACCTGGCAAGAACCAGAACAGCAATGAGCGACATGCCATTGTTCGATCAGCAGTCATTCGGCCCTCGCCAACTTCGTTTCTCAGCCTCCGAGCGCGTCGTGTTCTCTGACAACCACCCCACAAGAAGCACCATACACACCGGTCACGGGTGGGTGGCCGTGTTGTATCTGTTGGTGTTCAGTGAGGAGAGGTCGCTACGAAACCGAACCTGTGGCGGCGCAAAAAACAAAAAACTGCAAGAATGCTGTGCGTTTGAGCGGGGGGCCTTTTTCGAACAGCGTTCGACCCTCTCGCCGACTATAACTCTCCCTGCGCCCCACGGTCTGTAATACCCACCCCACAAGGGGCACCATGCGCACAGCTACGGGCGTTTCAGCCAGTTCACAGAGATCCCCGAAAACCTAAACCGAGCGGTGATGAGGAGTAGGGCTGTAGCAAGTGGATTTCCAAATGGTCGCGTCTATGGTCAGCAGTGCAAAAGGAAATCGATTTGCACTATTAATTAGAAGCATCTTGCTTGACAGACAGGATGTTCTTTTCATTTTTTGCAGAAATTTCACTTGTTTTACTGAGAAAAAACGACCTGTAAGAAACAGCGGAAACGATCGCATGTTAAATAACCATCTACGGCCCCTTTTCAATGAGAAACGTTTGGGCACTTCGTCGTCCTCGTCGCAGAAGGCATCGTCTCTGGTTGAGTTTTGCCGATGTAGTCCGGTCCACGTCCGCGTCCAAACTCATTCTGTGCTTGGTCCTTCGTTACGCCTACAACAGGGGCTAAGGAAGCACTGTGCTGGTGCCGCTCGAGTCATCGTCCAAGCTGGACGATCTAGTTTATTTCCTGTTGCCTGTCTGGTGCTACCCACCTTGGTGCGGCCTGCACACCACACGCATGCCCCACTTGCTGACCTATCCTGAACCTGTCCGTGAATGCGCCAGGGTAAGGATGTGAACTTTGAGGCCGCCCGACTTCTCATGGCTCTGAAGGACTTCGAGGCCGCTCTTGTCTTGTTCCGCCGTTCCGACAGGTGCGGAAACGAATTGCAGCAACCAGACCGACCACGCACAATACGTTGGCGAGTTCGTCTCTGCTGAAAGGCTCGGGCATTATCTTGACGTTTTGGCAGTTTGTGCGAAAAGAATGACGTTGTCACGGTTGCGTCTCAGTGACAGCTACGGATGTCTGGAGGAAGTACTGAGCAGAGGCTGGAACGATTTTTGATGTGAAGACAAAGAACAACAAGAACAAATTTTGTTCACTCCAGACCGTTTGTGTGCGGATTTCTGCTGAGAGAGGCATTCTTCCATTTGGTGGCGGCTGGGACCTTCGGCGTCCGCTGTCGCTTGTGCACTAATTCCGCCCACTCTTTGTTCGGGGTTGGATTTTGCCCCGACAGTCTTCGTTTAGTGCATGTAGCGCGCCAATTGCTTTTTCTGCTGCTGCTGCCTCGGTTGCACCGTTGACAGGCACGCCATGAGAATCACCCGTCGTGTTTCGACAATCCGTGCACTGTGACAATGGGGTGGGGCGAAACGGCCTACCTTTGTCATGGAAAACCCGCTTTCATAACGTTTGTAGCACACTAAATAGAACCGTTTCCCAGAATTGACATCGAATTGAGACAAAGAACGCCTGTCTGTGTCAATCACCCCAAATTAATTCAGCGTGTCCGGAGAGCACCATGTCACTTGCCACAACATGGGCATGAGCTACTTTTACCTGGGAAGACTGAGGGAAGCGAAGGAGTGCTTCGAACGCAGCCTTGAGCTCGACGAGGTATTTGGTTTCTCCTGTTTTAAGTTATCCTCGGTACCAAGAATTGTTGTTCCGTGCACGTCATTACGCCGTTGGTTGTTCAGCGACACAGGGTAGTGTCACGATGGTCATTATTTGTTCAATAATGGCATTGTCAAGACCGCGGTCAATATGTTGAGCTTGCGAAACAAAACGCGGGACGCCGGACGTTTGCATTGTACAGGTCTTCTCCTAACCCTGTACCGAAATAGTGGACAATTATTTTCCGTTGGGTTTCGTTTGTCCTCTTTTTGTTCGTGAGGAGCACCACACCTGCACGAGTCATGGCGCATCGTAACGGGGTTTTCGCTCGATGGATAAAACAGCAGGTCATTTGTTTCCCACGCATTTGGCTTGGCAAGCACAGCCTGTTTCGTTTTTGTTTTCGGGGACCCGTTTTTATCGAAAGAGTTGATCCAGCACCTGGCAGTAGCGCGGTTGGAGCACGGTGCCCGTTCGCCTCCCGTTCTCTTGAGTCTGCTTTAGGGTTCAGCAGGCTCGCCATTGTTCGTCGAGACGCCAACCTTCTGCCCTCCCCCTTCTGGTGCAGACGTACGAGGACTCCATCCGGTGGCTCGAGCATGTGCAGCGGAGCTTGGCGCCCCCTTCCGTAGCCACGCCAGTGGCGGGTTCGGGTGCGAGACTAGGCAGCGTCGGGACAGAGCCGCGAGACCCCGCCACGCCCAGCGGTGGGAGCGCTGCCAGCAGTAGCAGCGGCAGGACGCCGGTCAGCCAGTTGGAAGGAAACCTCAACACGCTGTCTATCTAGCGCCCCAAGCGCAACAACGTAGTTGAATTGTAGCAGTAGCGTGCGTGAAGAAGGGGCCGACCGTGATCCCTGGATACTGGTAAACATCTCTAAACTTGGCGTTTTTTCGCTCCAGAAGAGCGAAGAAGCGCTCCAGCCGCCTTGTGTACATGCCCTTGGCGACGTGGGCCAAGTGGAGGTCTGTTGCAAACGGTCGAGGAAATACCACAGTGGACACGTATATCGTGCGATGTTCTTGTTGGTTTGGGCCAGGCTGAGGTTGCCGTGCTGTTCGAGTCTTAACCTTTCCAACGTCCCCTTCAAAGAACCTTGACAGGTGAATAGTCTCGTCTATTAGTTGTCGGGACGGGCTAGGGGCTGGGAAAGCAAGCGACACGCCGAACGCCGGACCACACCCTCTTGTGGTTTGATTGCCGGTCAACAAGAGCTATCCATTAAGCCAGGGATAGTGGATAGGGCCAGTCGAACGTTTTTTCACGGAGGACAGCACACGAGAGCTAAATTTTGCGTCATGGCACAAAAACGCACAATCTGGCAGTTGATGTTGCTGCAGCTAAGCGTAGTCATGCCCGTACAACCATCGCGACCGGGCACTGCCGTGCATTGCAACACCATGGCCTCTGGTGTGCATACGAAAAAGTAGCAATCCATGAAGCTTGTGATGGCTCCGGTTGTGAAACATACCTTTGGGCGAGATGGGTGCGATTAGCAGAGGTTTTCGTTTCGAGCGGTTGTGGCTTTGTGTAGATGAAGACATATCGTCATCCCAAATGGGGGGTGCCTGACTGATCCAAGCGTGAATCGAACATTATTTGGGTGCGATCTAGGTAGCTCTCAATCGAACCGGCCGGCAGAAGTTCGAATCTTCCATGTATAGATGGTCAAACACAGCCACAGCATATTCTGCCGCTGGAGGCACCAGTCGGGTTCAAGCTTCGCAAGGGATAGCGGTGTTCATCGCGGTCGACGGATCGCCGCCTTCTTTCACGCGGGGTTGATGCTGAAAACCGGCAACTGAATGAGCGTCAAAAACACTTCCCCCTGGAGATAAACTCCTACTTTTTCGTGCGCCGTGGCCTGCAGGATGTGGGGGGGAAAGATCCTGCGGTGCGGAAAATGCTCCAGTTTCAATGGCCAGTGGGGCATTGTACACATTGCCCCATGTATCTGTCCTTCGTTGGACGTGACGCTCAAGTGTACAGAGTCAACCAGCACCGCAGTTACCTTTGTGGCTGGACACGTTTTCGTGCTCGCGTGTACTTCCCCTTCCGCAACAACCATCACCCACACTAAATGGGTACTGCGACTTGTTGATTCGAAAACGTCATCGCGTTTCGGGAAGATACGCATGCTTCGCAGGAGAGCACAACAGGATACGTGGGGGGGGGATCCGTGTAGACCGCGCCCATGCTTCGATACCTGGCTAAAACAGCGAAAAATACAAAGCTAAGTTTGTTGGCGGAGGCGGAATAAACTGACGTTTGTTGCTGTAACGTAAGAGTTGAAGGGCAATCATTGTTGCGGGGCCACATTCATGAAGAGCGCATTTCGCGTGCCCCCCGAACCTTTGGACACCAATGGAGAGAGCACACGTGTGCCGTAGTCGTCGGCTGTTGCGCTCGTGAGCGCGAGAGAAAACCTCGGAATACGTGAGCACGCCGAAGGATTGAGGCACTGGCCAACACAGGCAGGTGGCCACAGGAAGTAGTGTCTTTTCCCGCCCACCCAACCTTTTTCTTTCGAAGGTGGGGGAACGGAAATGGCATGAAGCCCTTATTTCCTTTCGCTAGGTATCTAGGATATGTTTAGGGTATATTGTGGATGGTGTGGTTGATTGAATGGTCGAGTACCATTTGGGGACTTGGTCATTCTAGAACCCTGCGTGTGCAGTAGCAGTAGTCGGATATCCCCGGCTGAATACAATAGCTGACTTGCGAGCAGAGTGAGAGAGAGAGAGCTGACTTGCTAGCAGAGTGAGAGAGATAGGGGTAAACACGTACCAGATGGCATAAACCAATGCATGAAAAAATAAACGACAAAAACGCAAAACCAACATCAACCGGTCCCGTACGTATTACGCCAGATACCGCAATATTAATATTCTTTGGGGACGACTCTCGGGGCGATCGCCATACGTTTGTTCAAAAGTATTGGCGGGCTTCGCCCGCGTGAATAAACTCCAAAGTCTCTGTCCGGGTACATAACACTATTGCCGAATCAAAAACACCCTGGGGTTGACTCGAAGGTGCACAGACCACCTGTAGAGGGGCGAGAAGACCCCGGGGCGGGCGTTGTCTCCTTTTTGCTGTGATGCACCTGACCTGCTGTATGTACAACACAACACAGCGCTGACACGCTTACCCTCAAGATATCGGGACTCAATCCGCTTTAAAACACCAACAACATCAAAGCCAACACCAACACCAGAAACATCCACAGCACACATGGCTAATGGCACACACACGAGAATGCTGACACATTGGAAAATGCCGCCCGAGGGGTTGAATGCGAACGCCCCGCCGGGCGCCCCAAAACTGTACCGAAAAAGAACACCCCGGGGCTAACGACAGGTAGCAAGGGCGAACAAATTACCACAATTACACGACGATACCCCCGGGGCCAACTCGAAGTTGATAGGGTACCCCGGCGGCTTTGTTTGGGGGAGGCTACACAGCATGGAGGGCGGTGTTCTCTATGGATATTTCTGTATCCACTTCGCTTTGGCGTCAAGTTCCTTCATCTAGTGCACGGTCTCTCCTGCTGTCCTCAGGTCACGTGGATGTGGCCAATCCTTGCCGACGATCCTTCACCACCAACCAAATGGCAGGTGTGCATGTATCGCTATCGACGCACTTCCCATGTCGCAAACCACATTTCACACACAACCGGGAACACCAACGTCTGGGAGAGAGAGAAAATAGGGAAACCCAAACGTGAGCAGAAGACGCATAGTGGTAGTGTTATTCTGCGTGGCGCAGTCCCACTGACTTGAATGTGAGCAGTCAGGTACAAATCTCGAATCGTTGGCCCACCGACCTGAAATGGAATGATTGTACTGGTCAGGCCTATGTCATATGAAAAGCAACCTGGTTCTGCCTCGTCGTCCTAATCGACGTATCGTATCATATGTTAGTGTTGGTGGGATCGAAAACTGGGCTACATGCGTCGCAAGGGAGGGGACCTCTGCCCAATACTCTCTCCATACAACCAGACAAATGGTATACTTGGTCACACGCGCGAAACAGTACTGGCGCAACGCGTGGATAGATCTGCGCCCCAATGCACCAGATATCGAGACAGATATCGAGGCAGAGGAGGTAAAAGAGTTGCAGGCAAAAAGGAAGCGTTCGTCAACAGAGGGCGGGAGGAACCGACCAACCGGATCAGCAGGTAGACCTTAACGCAAAGATAGCCAGACCATCCAACTCGAACTGTCTGTATATCAAGTCTTCTTCATTTGGCCCTTAACGTGAAAAGCTCCAAACGTCCCCCGGTGAACACGGCGAATTCCAGGATTGGCATCTTGCCCTTGCCCTTCGTCGTTCCGCAAACTTGACGTTCCCGACGGTCTTGACGGTCTTGACGGTCCCCAATCTCCATGCATCTCGCTGCGTGCTTCCTACAAAACACGAGACACCACATCGGTTCAAAAGACGAAGAGGGGCGCACTGCAAGACGTCAGTACCGGGGTACTGAGCAAGAACAGGGATGAACGCCCACATGACGACATCTTTGCATCTTGCACCACTGCCGAACACGGCCAAGGGCTTGTACAAACATCGTCTAGGGTACGTGCATTTACCAGGTGCTGTTTGGGAATGCGATTTCGACTATTGTATATCGATGGATTTGCACACCCCGGAGGAGCTGGAGTTGACCGCACAGATCGACAAGCTCTTCGCTGGTATAGGACGCGCAGCCCGAAGGGTGTATGCTTTCCCCGGCACTCGATATGACCGCATCGAACGCGTATTCATGAATTTTCCCCCCACTGCTGGTATTGCTCATTATGAACGGTGTGCTGGGCGGACTGCCCTTCACTGTACCGGAGGAAAAAACCGAGCACGCAAGTATCCGGTATATGTTTCATTGAAATCGTTTGATGCGGCCAGGAACGCACCACAAAATTACGTCTGCGTAGATCAGTCTAGGCGGGCTGGTATAAACGCGCTCGAGAGCCTTTGCAGACGCTGATAGGTCCGTTCCCAGTGCCCATTCACGAAAACAGTTCTACTCATACGTCTATATCGCACAGACCTATAAACTAATGTCCTTATGGGGATCGATGAGAGGAATCGTGCACCGTCCTCATTTAAATATCTTAATTTTCGATATTCGTGCATGAAAGCAATCCAGTCGGCCTCCCAGATATGTTTTGTGATCGATAACTCCATCAATTTCGATATTTCTGAAACAACAAAATACGTCCAGGGCAAATGACGAGGTATATACATTTATCTCCGTTGAGATGTTCGAAATCGGTCAAACAACACCACCCACTCGAAAGCCATCAAGGGTATCCGCTTATTGAAAACTATGGACACAACGAAGGGACCAAACACAAACAAACAAAATCAACAGGGACCTTCGCCTAGAGACAGGACATTTGCAGGTGTTTTAGGATTTCCGAACAACCACCCCTACCCCGAGAGAAGTGTACCTTGGTGCTTGGGAAATACCTGACAACTTGTTGTGTACGGGCCATAAGGCATGTACAAATCTCAAAAAAGTATATATGCATACCAACGTATCTACTCCATATTCTTGCCTGAAGGTCTTCACGAGCATGACCTCCTCGTCCGTGTAGGTAGGCGAGATTTTCTCCACGAAGGCCTTCGCGGCGTCGAAGATAGCATCTGCTTGGGAACGTGCACCCCGAGAAGCAAGAGCAGGACGAGTTAGGCGTAAATTGCGACTACAAGTTGTTACAAGTCGATTCGTAGCCGCCCGTTGAATCAGCGTCATCGCGACGCCTAAAAGGCGCCGGCAAGCAGTCTACTACAACATCTCTCAACCGCGGGCATGACGATGAACAAAGCTCTCAGTTGCGCCATTGTCGGTGTTGAGCCGCTGGTCCATTGTATGGAGGGGGAAACAT